AAAAACGGTCCCCATATAGTAGGAAATACCTGCCTACACACACACACACACACACACACACACACACACACACACACACACACACATCCATATTTTCTGTTTACTATCTGGTAATAAGTATATTTTTTGTGACCTTCTTCAAAGTGTTGCACAACCAAACACTTCTCAGACACAAACTAACACAGAAGGAGGAAGTCAAGCATACTTAAATTTATTTAGGTTTTCAGTGAAACTGTCAGAAACGAGAGTAGAGCAAGAAGATAACCGACTGACTTAAAATTCACGTACAGCCAGTAATTTCCACTGATTTGAGGTATTCATAATTGAGGAGGATTGAAAGTGAGAGAGCAACCAATATAAAGCAGAAAAGCTGAACAAACACTTATCTGTTGTTAYATTTAAAACTGTGTTTACACTGCCTTTGTGTCTAAAATTGTCAAGTTTGGTTAAAAAATGATGGGAACGAAAAGCGGGGAAAGGAAATGTGTTGCGGAACCTTTTTTTGAGTGATGTTTCTGCAATCTCTACTCTCTGTTTTGACTTATAAGAACTTCCTGTGAACAATCTAGACTATAAACAGAACATAGAAAACATGACTGATGACTAACAAACCACTGACACTGAGTTTGGTCAAATTTCCCAAAAACAGAGAGAATTGATGACAGACTGAATTTTAGCAGGCTTTTTGTGGCTCTGTGTTCATWCCTGTGAGTGATGTTACTTCTAAAATAATCCCCTGATGTTGGCGTCCTTTGACAGTTTCTTCTGCYGAGATGTTCTTATTCTTATTCCACTCAGTGACAACAGATACTGATGGAGGAAAAATGAACACATCCTTTCTTTAGTTTTCAATTAAGAAGTTGAAGCACAAAGTTACCTTATTCTGTGCATTGTGCAGTGCCACAAACATAGTGTTAATGAAAATTATTGAATGGTAAATGGACTGATGGATAGCACCTTTCTATCCATCCAGGGCACTCAAAGAGCTTCACACTACAGACATTCACCCATTCACACACACATTCACACACTGATGATGGTAAGCTACATTGCAGCCACAGCTGTCCTGAGGCACACTGACAGAGGCGAGGCTGCCATGCACCGGCACCACCGGACCCTCTGACCACCATCAGTAGGCAAGGTGGGTGAAGTGTCTTGGCCAAGGACATAACGACTGACTCGACTGGACGGGGGATCGTACTGGCGACTTTCCGGTTCCAGGACGACTCCCCTAACCACTCCACCACAGCCTCCCCAA